ACGGCTGGGTCAGAGCACCTCCACTGGGCTGCTCCCAGTCAGCAGTGGTAAGTACCCACTGACAGTGGTTTGAGGAGGGACAAATCTAGAGATGGGCAATAAAACAATATATATTGTTATTGTGCCACAACATAATACAATATGTTCTTCTAAATATTGTGTATATTATCTGTGTTGGTAGAACACTGAACAACAGCATGTCATTATAAAGAGCACAAAATTATTCCCATTTAGCTGGATTTATTGCAACACCGTATGACAAATGTTGAATAGAGATCATGGTTTTCACAGTTTTTGATTTTTTTTTAATGTAACATCACTGGTTCTGTTTTCTCTGTACCCACTGATCAAATGTCTGAACAAATCAATATTGTGACATTGTAAAAATGATCACGATATTATAATTTTGATGTATCAACCAGCTCTACACAAACCACTAACCAGCAACAGGGTTGTAAGTTTATTATGAAGATTTGTTTCACTGCCTTTGGCCTGATTGCAATAAGGTGAACCTTTTTGTGAACCTTTTACAAACAAAAGCAAAAATAAATAGCAAAAAATTACCTGTCCCTAATATGAGTCATCAATAGAAAACCCCCCCAAAGATCATTTCATGTGTGTGTGTGTGTGTGTGTGTGTGTGTGTGTGTGTGCATCTGTAATTTCAGCCTCTCCAAAGCCTTGCTCAACAGTCATCAGCTTAATTGAATGAATCGGGCATCGAATGAAGCAATATGTAGCCAGCAATTTGGTTCTGTCAGCCATCTGGATGATGGCTCTGAAAAGTATGTGTGGGGGTTGTTGGCTGTGGGGGGTGGGTGTTAGTGTCTCATTGTATATGCATATATTTGTACACATTAAATCCCTGTTGGCTTAGACAGAATGTCTTCTGAAAAAAGCATACCGACTGGAGGTGCCCATAGCTCACTTAGCACCACTAATACTGCATGAGCACAAGAGCCATAAACACAGTGAGTTACGCACCTGCAGTGAGTTGAACCCCTTAAATGGCCAAAGTTTTACTACACACTTCTATAACCTAAGAACAGGTCAGTCAGTTTGCATTGTAGTCTGTGTAGTTACTGAATAATAAGCCTTTGTATGTAATAAGCCTGGGATTGTACGGGGCTAAGAGAGAATACAGGCTTAGAGGGAGTGACAGGAGAAGGTGATAGTGAGTAAAAGATGAAGAAAACAATCAGGAAAGAACAGCAGTAAATAACTAAGTAAGTGCTAACCCCTCTGGTATGAGTGACATCACTGTACAAACACACTGTTAGTGGAAGAAGCACTCTGTTTCAACTCTTCTGTCACCTCTCTCTCTCTCCTTCTCTCTCTCTCTCTCTCTCTCTCTCTCCCCCTCTCTCTCTCTGCTTGTCAAATCTCACACTGCTGTGACATCTCTGTGAGTTCTTTCTGAAACAATGCTGGAGAATCTCTCTTTCTAGACCATTCTGTTGAAGTAGTTGAAACTGCATATATACATATATATATGTATACATATATATGTGTATATATATACATATATATGTATATATATATATATATATATATATATATATATATATATATATATATATGACAACTGAAGCCAAACTTTGTTCTTCAAACCAGCACACAAATATATACTTGTTTGCCATTGATTTCTCCTTCTTTCCCACTATTTTCATAACTGTAACATTGTTCTTTCAAAACCAGTGTGTTCTAAGATTACTGTACTGTATCTTACATGGGCAGGCAGATAACCATCAGGCAGAGAGAAAGAGAGAGCGAGAGAGAGAGAGAGAGAGAGAGAGAGAGAGAGAGTGTTGTAGGGCTTGAGTTGTAAATGGTTTTATATTTGTAACCTGATGCATGTGGAGGAGCAGCAGGGAGTGTCTGAATGCTTGAGATTGCTATCACAGTGAGACAGTGGTGTGTGTGTGTTCATAGCCATTAGATGGATCAGCAAAAAGTCTTTGTTGTTATTTGTGGAACATACAGTGCAGTGCAAAAGTCAGAGACTGCCCTTCACTTACTCAATTTTCATTAAAATGCCATTAAGAACAAATTATTCATTTTTTTGTCAGCCTGCTTTCGGTGTTTCAGAGAAATCTGCAGGAATATTTTTCACATCTCCGAAGTTCAGTCTTAGAAGTTGTATTTTCTGCTGCTCACAATCCAAGTAACGCAGAGGACATTCAGTGATGTTGGAGTCCAGACTCTGGGGTGGTCGGTCCATTGTTCAGAAAACACCAGCAGCTTCTTTGTTTGACTTACAAATTTTCTTATGTTTTGTCTGTTTCCTTTTCTCAGCAAGGGCTTCTTCACAGCTACGCATTCTTTAAGACTCATAGTGTTGAGTTGTTTTCTCACAGTGGAAAGATGGACAGAAACACCTGTGGATTATTTCAGATATTAAGTTAGAGTGGAGCTTGATTCTCTCAAAGATGACAGCTTACTGTTTATCTGATGGGGACCATTTTGGTGGGCTACAAGGTCTTACATGGTTGTTAACATTATTTTCCCCATAATGTTTAATCTTTTTTAAAATTCTAGTTTTTAACTCCTGTTTTTTCATGTTTATTCCTTTGACTTTTTCATATCCTTTTGCAAGTGGATTATCTTACATCTAATTTGAAAAATGGATAACTTGTAGGGCTGCTTATACTGGAAATTAAATAAACGAGGCATGGTCTCTGACTTTTGCACAGTATTGTATACATATATCTACATGCATGTACAATATTTTGTTGTCTGAGATTAATTGGATTATATTATACTTTAAGTTCACACATCTTTGCATGTGCTCTCACTACACAGTGTGTATATGTGTGGGGTGTGCATGTGTGTGTGTGTTCTTGTATTGCTATACTTATGATAGGACTACATGAAATTTTTGCTCAAGTGAGGACATTTTGCTGGTCCTCACTTGGGAATGTGTTATTTTCACCACAATTGCTTTTTTTATTTTAGAACTAAAAGAGCAGAAAAAATGCCCTTTGGATACTGAGGTTAAGGTTAGGCTTAGGTTTAGGTTTATGTAGTATTATTTAGCTACAGTAACACAAAAATCAATAGAAACCTATGGACGTCCTCATATGTATAGCAAGACAAACGTGTGTGTGTGTGTGTGCGTGCAGAGTATTGTGCTCTGTAACCTAAACTATTCTGAGTCCAGGTGCAGTAAGGGGATCATTGCGCTCTCTCTCTCTCTCTTTCTCTTTCTCGCTCTCTCTCTCTCCCCCTCTTTCTTTTGTATTTGTGCCAGAACTGCAGCACCCTGCCTCCGCTGGGGTTTCACTCTTCCTCTCTCTTTCTCAGGCAGTCCTCCTTATGCCAACTAGGTGTGCTTGTGTGTGTGTGTGTGTGTGTGAAAGAAAAAGAGAGAGAGACTAGACTACTCATTACACCCATTGCTTGAAGAAGACTCTCTCTGAATCAGAGGACGAGTGATAAGGAAATTTCAAATCTATGCAAACATCCGAATGTAAACTGGCTTATATGTTCTAAGATTTGTATTGTAGTTCCACTGCACATTATATTTCTAGAAATGTAACCTGTTTGAGTTTAATTTAAAGGTAGGGTTGTCAAACAATTAAAATGATTATTGTTAATTAATTGTCATTAATTACATTTGTCTTATTTGCTCAAATTGGGCACTAAAGATTCATTTCAATTTATAAAGCAGCACATTTTGTTGCAGCCATATGAGTGGACATAATATTGTGTGAAGGCAGGATTTACATGAACAGAACATGAAAAACTTACATCACCAACATCCACTTGCAGCATGTTCGCTGAGTGTATATCTCATAAATATTATATATACAATCAATGATTCTATCTCCTCCGTGATTGTAACCTCCTGCTCTCGTTCCTACAGCTCATAGATTTTTGTTGTGATTGTCTGGAGCTTACTACTGTGCTATTACTTTTGTTAGTTTGCTGCTCATTAATTTATCCATAGATAAGGACTTTGATGAAAAACAAATTCACCATTGCATGAATTAACTTTTTTCAAGAATGTAATTTACTTTAAAAGCTTTATTTGAATGACAGGACTGAAGTCAGTCAGTGACACACAGCATGTGAGCAGCTGGACTCAAACTGTGATTGGAAGGGTCAAGTGAAATGCATTAATGCCATTAAAAAAAAAATGAATGTTGTTGAACATTTATCACGTTAACACACTATGAACATGTTAACTGTGACATCACTAAGTGATGCACTTTCATTCTTCACTCTAAGTTAATAAGATCCAGCCTAGATTTTGTAATAAAGTAGCAAACATTTAAATTTTTATGCAAACCTTTTCTCACTGTGTGCTTCGCCTTGGTTGCATAAAATAATGGCTATCACAGACCTAACAAATGTAACTGGTTGTTGAATGTAAATGTTTGGATCCACGTTGGCTTTCACTTCAGGGACGTTGTGTTTAATTAAGAATCCTACATTTGCCCAAAACTCACTTAACCTAGCAGTTAAAATAATAATGTGGCTAAAAATAATAACCCAGCCTCACTACCTTGTTCTTGCTGCAAAAAAGTAGGCCTAAAAAATAACAGTCTGTAACATACTACTAATAGACTAACTTATCATTTGTTCACGCTCTGCTGTCTCTTTTGTGTTTTTTCTTTCATTAGCGCCCTGCTAATCTCCTTTTGACTCTCGTGAGTGTCCCTTTAAGAGGTTTCTCCACCTGTTTTCCGTAAAACCCACTTGTTTTCGGAAAAAAACCCGCCCTCCTACGTTCGGGTTGGCTGCTAAGCTCATTATCACTCATAGGCGGGCTGTTCGTGAGTATGAGCTTACCAGCCAATCTTAGTGCAAGCAGCGGAACGCCACTAGCCAATCATAGCGCAGGGCGGGAGGGACTTGTTAGAATACGGGTGTGGAAAGTCTTAAAGCGACAAGCACGCTTTTATGTGGAATACGGGTAGGAAGAAAACCAACAGCGTCTTCTCCTCCTCCTTCTCCTCCTCCTCCTATCTCCGGCTTTACTCCGCCCTTCGGTCCGGAAGGCAGTGAGAGCTGCTCTCGCAAGTGGCCGCAGATGTGAGCTGAGTTTTTAGTCGCTATCTGCTACTACAGCGAACCAACTTTGCCTCCATTCACTTGAACGGCAATGTCAGATTAGCTGGCCTCTTTAGCATCGACGTCTCGTTTATTATTATTTCTTGTCGATGTCGTGGTCGTGTATAGCAGCCGCCAAGGGACTGTTTTAACCTAATTTCGCGACTATTTCTTTAAACGTTTCCTTTTTTATTTGTATTTGATACATGTTTTATCTCTCTGACGGTTGACACACTGAAACAAAAGTGGATTTAACAGTGGCTCCGCCGTGTACCAGCACTCCAAGATGCTCCTGGTCTCTCCGCGGCTAGACTCACCTCGCATGGACCCATTAGTGAGTTGATGAGCTTTTGATTGCTGTTAAGCACCAGCTTTGGATGTGTCTGTGTGTATGTGAATGTGAGCCTCTGTGTTGGGGGGCGGGTTGTGTGTGTGTGTGCAGGGGGTGTATTCATTAAAACTTCAGCACGCTTTCTGTGTTGTTTCACTTTATCTCTGACCCACTTTAAACTTCTACATTGGCGAATAAATCTGCTCACGTGTTCCAGCATCTCAGCGGCACTGTGCTCGGAAACTTGACCGAGAAGCCACCGGCATTAGCTGACGACGCTAGTAGATACACTTTGTGGAGTGCATAGAAGCGGCTCGTGAGCTGGATGAGGGCGAACCCGCGCTATTTAAGTGCGCGAGCTCCGCGTTTCACGTTATCTGCGAGTAACATAAGAACGCTGATCATCCTGATGACACTCATATCTGTTGACGATGTCGTTATATCCCCATATCGGCAGTATGGTGGGGAGTAATGCATAGCAGGCTCCCTAGTGCTTAAAAGAATCTTAAAGGATTGCGGTTCGTTAAAGAACGTGACGTCACAATGCAATGTGTTAAAGGATTGTTGTGTCACAATGTAATGTGTTAAAGAACAGCTACGTCACAATGTAGCGTGTTAATGAATCGTGTGCTGCATCTTCACGCCCGACGAAGAGACCCTCTTTGTTTTCCCACGGCTGAGGAATCGCTGAGGCAAAAGAAAAAGCCCCCACTCTGCTGAGCAGCAGCAGCAGCATGTGGTTCTGCTGGTTGGAGCGAGCGAGGCTGAGCTCCGCCGCTCTAGACAAAAGGCGAAAAGGCAGAAAGACAGCGCGGCTCTGCAGACGTCAGCGCGGGGTTCAGGCGCCGGGGAGCGGTGCTGGAGTTTCAACAGAGGCTGGGGGGAGGAGGTGGGGAGGGGGTGCAGATAGATAGATAGAGGTTGCCATCATATTGACACACGGAGTGGGGAGCGTGTGGGTGGGTGCGCGCGCGCGCGCGGGATTAAGCTAGTGGAATACGTAATGGGATTAAAGGAAGTGGCGGAAGAAGTCGCCTCTGCCTGTAAAGAGCAAGCAAGAGCCACAAACGAGTCTTTATTAGAGTCCTGCTGGATTAGTAAATGGGTTAAAAGCGCCTTTGTGTGTGTGTGTGTGGTTCATATATACAAGCAGTCCGTTTATAGGGCTACTGTCTGTGCATGTTGCCTCGTCGTTCAATAATCCTAGCCAATTAACTAAAGAGGTCTGCTCAGCGTCATGCTGTAGGCAACGCCCCCCCCCTTCGCTTTGTTAGGATTTTGCTTAAACACACCTCGCTAACAGTGCTGTGATAGCAGAGCAAATCCAGCCTTGTGTCATCTTTGCAGCTGGTTTTGGAAACTAAACCGTTTTTCCACTGTCGTTTATAGAATTGAACAAAGCTAAAGTGCTCATTTGAGCATGTATTGATGCAGATTGGTGTGGAAAGTGCTGGTTAAAGGAGAAGTCTAGGAATGTGGGTGGAAAGGTGGAAAGTGTCCAGCCCTTTTTAAAATAGATTGATTTCCTGATGAACTGTGATGCCTTTTTATATGCTGGGTCTTCTGTACTGAATCAGTGCAAGATGAATGAAACCCTGGACATCTTTACTTACTCTTAATTAGTATTGATGAATATTCATGCAAGCAGTGACCCCGCCCTCATCCTTATGGCGTTTAGTGACCATTAACCTCAGTGGACGCTCCTCCTGAGACAGGCTATGGCAGGCCATTGTTTATATCGACATCCAGAAGTGTTTTCTAACTGTGATATTGGAATTGAATGTGTGTGGTGGTGGTGGTGGTGATGTATTAAATCAGTCCAAGCGTGTCCAAAATGCAGAAAAGCTGAAGACAGGGGGTGCCTACAGGGGGTGAGGCTGGAAGTTGGCTTTTAATGCCTGGACTTCGGGGAACTGGAGGTGTCCCTATAGGTTTGAGGCAGGAGCAATGGTGGCTGCAGCTATTAAATAGTTCACCTTTTCTTATGATGACAGATTAGCCTTATTAAGCATTATTAACCTAATGTCTTATCTGCTATGTTGGTTGTATGGTTGATTTCTACACGCAGTACGTTTCCCCGTTTCCCTTAGTAAAATAACAGAAGACTCTTTAACTCAAAATTCACTTATAGTAGAAGCTAATCAGCAGATGATTCTATTATAAGTGTGCTATGAGTCTATGGGTATTCTGTTCTTTTCTAAATACAGTGAAAATGTGTCCTGGTTATCAAGCATATGCTTCTGATGTGGCAGATAGAGAGTGTTGGATTATTTCTTTAATATAATGAAAAGAAAGTATACCATGGATGTTAATGACTATTATTATTATTATTATTATTATTATTATCATCATCATCTTTATTATTATTGTTATTATTGAAAGCTTTTCTTTCTGAGGCCACTTTGCAACAGCATGTGGTTTGTCTGAGCTACACCCACGCTGGGTTTCCCGCAACGGATCTTTCAGCATTTTTTTTTTTCATTTTTTGAACTGATCTATGGCCAAATTAGTCAGAGCACTTTGAAGTCGCTGGTGAAGAAAGAAGAAAAAGCAGAAAGGGCGAGCTGGAATGCGCTCCTCCGCTCAGATCTAAGCCCGCTGAAAGTGGCAGGGTAGCCGTCACCCGGCTATGCGCAGACTTGGATCCACCTCAAAGTAGAACTGGAACGGAAAACAACAACAGTGTGTGTGAACTTTCATCTCACCGACAGCCTTTAAGGATGAGATCACTGAATAAAGTGCGAGTGGAGAGGTAACCGAGAGGTCGCTTTTGTCCCTGAAGCTGTCCATTGCACATGCCTTTCTGTGTCACAGAGTAACTGACGGTTTGTGTCACCTTCCGAGCTGCTGTTTTTTTCTTCCTGAAAAGAGAAGGAGATTGCTGTATCTGCAATACAGAGCCATATGGTGTATCCCAGTGAGAGAGAGAAGAAGGGATAGCAGGGGGTAGGAGCATGCAGATGAAGAGAGAGAGAGAGAGAGAGAGAGAGAGAGAGAGAGATTTTGGCCTTGAATGTGTTAGCCAAGGCCAGCTGTTTGGTGAAAGGAGGTAAAAGTCTCCCGGTGGTCAACGATCATGGTTAGGTCTTTTACTAGTCATAGAACCTCTTGAACAGCAAGGACACATTTACTTGTGGTATAATCATATCAAGCCATTAAAAGCAAAGTGCACACTGTTCATTCAGAGAGTGTGGGAAGTGCCATTTGACTTATTATACTCATTACATGAAGTAATTGGCACCTTTTTCCCAGTTGCTTTCACACACACGCACACACACAAACACACACTCACACGTGCACACACACACACACACACACAGATAGAGGGAGAAACTGTTATTACACCTAACAGTCCTATAGACTGCAAGTACACTCTTAAAAATAACGGTTCCTCAATAGTTCTTGGTTTGAGGAAAAGCTTAGGAAAAAGGTTCTTTTTTCACTGAGGTCTTATGACATTTGTCAGGGCTTGTACACCAAAAACAGCGATAATTCCATTTTACATAGCTTTGTCCAATCTGTGTGTATTCCTTAGAGTTAATGAAGCTGTTTCTGTCACTGGGCTTTTAAGAATGTGTAAAAATCATCTCTGTTTTGATTGGCTGAATTATATGCAAATATTATATATTTTAAACACCTGTTCTGTTGAGGCTAGCATAAAGGCTAATAGTTTTAGCTTCCCTAACTAGTTTATGTCACTTTAGTGAACTTTTTACACATTAGTAACAATTAACACATCAGCGTACCATTGCGGTTCACATTCTGGTGCATTTGGTCATGTAATAGTGCTTAGTGACTTAATCTTCACGTGGAAGAGTAAAGAATTCACTAAACTGTTGTTTGCTTCAGGTGCAAGTGCTACCAAAGACAGAGGAGAACGCCCTTGAATACTATCAGGTCTTATTGGTACATCGTTCTTGAGCGGGTACCAAAAACCAAAAGAAGTGGAAAATTTGGTACTGGACTGATAGCCAATGGAAAAAGTGCAGTTTCCGTTTTCTAGTCCCAGAAGACTTTTTGGAACATGTTTTTTAAAAGTATAGCAAATTTAGAGGCTGTCGCTGCTGTAGGGACAAAACCTTGTATCTCCATCATCCGTTTTTCATTTTTTGACATAATTTGAAAAGGCCAGTTACCATTTATGATGAAATTTTAGGATGAACAGACCAACAGAAATGGTTCAAAATTACTTGGAAAAGATGATGTATTCTTTTATTTCCATTAAAAGTTAAGAACGCTTTTCTTTATCCTGTAAAGTTACCTTTTGGAGATACAAGGTTTTGCCCTGACAGCAGCCATGTATGTATATACACACACATTCAGTATGTATGTTAAATGGATTTTGCGTGTTTTTTTTTCAAACAGCAGAAAGGGACATAAAGGAAAGCTAGAAGGAAAGTAGAGTTGCTGTTATTAACCAATGGAGGGAGATGCTCATGTTTTCCTGCTATCATGCAGGATCTCTTGCCCAACTGTCTGTCTGAAAGCACTAGCAAGTGAGAGGGTGGTGAGGCAAAGAGGGAAAGAAAGAGAAGGAGGGAGAACTGACAGAGAGAGAGAGAGAGTGCGTCAGTGCGACTATCAGGCAAACCCTCACCAGGAAATAACAGTGTTGCCTAGGGATGGAAAACAAACAGGAGCTACATACCAAATATCAGGTTGTGTGTGTGTTTTCTTTTCCCTGCTTTTAGACTTTGCACGAAAAGCGGGGGAACCCACATTATGCTCTAAATGAACCCACCCTCGCCACATGCTCTTGCTAAACATCGAGTGTCGTTGCTAGCTGCTGTGAAGGTAGCTTATCAGCACTTAACTCTTGCCTCAGATAAGTGGAGAGAAAGGGAGAAACAGTGATAGGATGGGGAACGGCGTTGTGTGCCTCATTCATCAATTCACTCTTAGTCACTGTACTTTGTTCTGGAAGAAACTGCCCCAAATCAGGTTACAAGAAACACTGTTTTATGTACACATCTGTGTTAGCTCATAATGATGAATGACTTTTA